GCAAGCTATTTTGCAATGCATTAGTTATTCGGGCTTCACATCTTTTCTTAGACATATACGTATCGCATGCCATAAACTAACCTAGATGAAATCATACAAGTTATGTTGACTTGACAAATTGAAAATTATAGAAAAGTTAATATGTCGCCATACGAAACATGGATGTAAATGTGTGCGAGCGACGTTGACGACGTTAGCCTTGGCAGTAAACCCATATGAACATTTGTTCGAAAGGTTTAACTGTTTAAATGCCGTATCAAGAACAAATATTAAGAGAAGAAAGTACATATTTACATTGTAAGAAGTTTAAATAATCTCAAAGTCTTTCAAATCAATGAATCAATCCAACTGAAGGTAGAGTTTTGCGCTTATACATGTAATAAAGAACTTGGAAAGTCTTGAAAGATGATGCAGTGTTATTTATCTACCTAGCGTATGCCCATACAGATTTATATTGTCAATTTAATCCACAATTATTGTTAGTTATAAAGATCGTTGACAGGTTATATGGCCCTATATAAACGGCTATTTGTAAATATAACCCGAGCCGTTAGGCGAGGGTTATATTGCAAACAGCCGTTTATATACGGCCATATAACCTGTCAACGATCTTTATAACGAATTTATAATACAGCAAGCATCATTTTTTGAGAAAAAAAGTAAGATTTCTTCATGAATCGACAGCAGTCGTGTATATAAAACTATATAAACGTCACGATTATCCAATGAAAAATGACGTGACAAACGTGCAGTATTATAAGAGTATATATAGGTGGAATTGATATTTCAGCGGAAGAAAAAAGTGCCGTCATTCACAAACAGCACAACCTTCATTTGTTTTCTTCAGACCCGATTCGTTTCTGATCTTATGTATTGTGTGTGTAAAAACCTTTGATAGCTGTATTACGTTTACAAAGATTTCGTAATATATGTCAATTTGTTTTGGTTTTTTTAGATGTATTTAGATATGAAATGGCTATTTATACATTTTGATCATATATATGTCAACTGATAACAGTTACTGATAAAATGTTGAAGAATGTTTACAAACATAAGTATTTTATATAAAAAGTACTCTTCATGACTATATATTCAAGTGAACAGTGGTTGCAATGACCATTGTCGTCTATGACCAGACTTAATCAAACCAAGCCTGCACCATTTTCAATTCTGCCGTTTATTGTGCATTCTTTTGCGGTTCTGTTTTTTCTCTATTTTACATTAACTGCATAAGTAGATGAGAAATGTTCGGCAATATACGTTAATATTCAAATTGTCTTTTGGGTCGGTCTTCCAAATCATATTATAGGAAAGGCAACAAGTCTTTTAGTCCTAAGGGCTTAATCGATCTTCATACATTATGAACTAATTTAATTGAATTACATTGTTATTATTCTTTCTGGTAATCTCCCCTATATATTAGTTTTATCATGCAACAGATGGATTCAAGTGTTTTCATAGACTTACAAAATAGCCAAAGTGTTTTAAGTGTTAGAATATACTATAACATATTTATTTATTTTTTTGTCCCTCCTTTGTAAATAATATCTGAGAATTGAAAACATTCAAATACTATAAATGTATATACTTGACCAAATCATCCTCAATATGTCATTTATTGGTTTGGATTAAAAGAATTGCTAAACAATATATAGAATATACCAAAGTTTATCCAAGTTCAGAATAAAGGCGAAATACAAATGATACATATCATATCTGCACAAGCAAGAAATAAATCAAAAACCACCACAAACGTTTAAATACAAAAGACATTTTTACATAAGTTAATGTGCAAAGTAAACATGTAAATATACTGTAGAGAATTGCATGGTGGGCAGTTTTATGGGTTTTAACTCAGAATGCACTATATAGAAGAACGCATACCTATTAAATGAACAAATTAGATTCTAAGTACCCATAGCATATTTTATGGCCATCTCCCCAAATCATTGATCAATATTTTGAATTATTCCTGCTAACTTATTTACCCCGCATTTGTTAGCATCTATGATTCTCATGGGCAGGAAATTCACTTACCCTTCTTACGGGAATATTACTAAATACAGGTATGTATATATGCAATTTTGATTTGAATATAATTAAGTGAATTTTAGTGCATACAAACTAGAAAACGAATAAATCGTCAATTAAAGAAAAATATCTACAACCAGTATGGATATGTACCGATTATATCACTTTTTTGTAAGCGCTAAAGTGCACTTAAATTTTTCATGTTGATGATGCTAAGAAATATTTAAAATTGATAGAATTGCATATTGTCGATGCCACAGGCAGATAATGCTTAATTTAATCAAGCCGTTTCAACATGTTCAAGAATAGATACTTTGATTGATATCATAACAATTCATCTTAACTTTAGAATAAATAAAATAAAAATATCTATTTTTGTATTTTCTTTCCTTTATAAAATGCAACACTTTACGTGATATTGTAATATAATATTATTTCAGTGGGATTATTTCTGTGATAAAATACTTTCTTAAAGAAATCAACTTATGTTTGTCTTAAGTGGTTACAATGGCTCCAAGATGTTTATATGCATAAGCACATCTCATGTTTATCTTATGGACATACTTAACAATTTGTGTCATTGAAGTATTTGTATCAGATAGCACTTTTTTATGTGAATGAGCCTTTTAAACAGCTGTGTAATCAATTTGTAATGATATCATGGTTTCTAAGCAGCGTCACCATCTTGTACAGCTAATTATTTAATATATTTTTTTAGCTATAACTAACATATAAGGCCTATTTGAGTATTTATTTCCCGATGCATTTTAGATGCCCCCTTCACTGGTTGAACCCGTTCCACCCAGTTGTGCGTTTTGCTACAGACAGTCCAGCTATGTTTCTTTAATACATGCTTGTCTTTACATATTAGCAAACGTCTACAACATTGCTACTGCTGTCAATATTTTACTACGTTCTACCGTTGTTGTTCAGATTAGAAATTGAAGTTAAACTTTTAACGACTAAGTATTAGCAACCGTGATTCATATGATGATGTGGTTGGATCATAAGTCATATTAATTATTTTCTGCTGTCTTCACCAAGACTATCAAACAATTTATTTAAACAAGCTGTGACTAAAAAATTTTCAAGTCATATCGTATGCTTCATGTTAGCAGTTCTTAAAGCCTTTCGGACTGAATTGTTTTAATTTTCGCATTCTGTCTTGCTGCTGCTTTGTCTTTTAAGCGAAAACTTTTTAAACATTTTTAAATCAAAGAACATGTTTAATGCATATATGATATTTAAAGATACGCAATTGTATAATGACCAAACAAAAAAGAAATAAAAACAAAAAAATAAAATGCATGTAATGCCGTTTGAACCCACATCCTATCAAAACTCTGTGTCCTCTCTGAAAATGAATAATTTCAAAAAGAAGATTCTGCATAAGGCATCTAATACCTTAACAAATAATAGTGCTAACTAAAACAAATATTTCTATGACACAAAATTGTTTAGTTTACAAAGGAGGGACAACAAACTAAATAAGTATTTTTTTATAAGTGGAAATAATAAGTGTCATACATCACACGTAAACAAGCATTAACTTGAGTTTAGTTCAGTCTTCAGATATAAAACGCAGTATTGAATTTGATATTGATTAAGGACATAACACTTAGACACACTGAGACAATGCATACTATGAAAACACTTGATACCATCCGGTTTAAATTAAACCTGTTATATGGGGAGATTCACAGACACAAAAATAACAATGAATTTCTTATAAACTGGTTCATCATGAATGAATAACAACATATTAGGATTTATCGTTCATAAGTGCACGCCTTTACTTTATGAAATAGATAATGTGATAGACTTTTTCATTAGAAAAGGTAAACAAGTTATTACATTTAATATATCATACTAAATATTTTTCAATTTTCATTTTTTATTTCGCATGAATTAATCTAAGCTTTCGACAAATAATAGCACAATTGCATGTGTATGAATTAAATTCCACTTTAAGAAAGTGACCGTTATCTACATATTGCATAATGGTTTTGGAAATTAAAACTCTTTAAAAAATGTATATAACTTTATTCCATTTAACGTTGTATATTTTAGCTTGGCATAAACCTTTAAGAAACGGAGTTGTTTGCAAAGCAATACCACAAGAGTGCATGATTTAACATTAAAATAATCCCCACGATGTAGACGATTTCTTTGAAATGTTAATTCATTACTTCTTTAGGTAAATAGTCCTATAATACTATAAAGACAACCATTTCGAGGTTACAATTACAACAAACATATTTTTTAAAGCTTGATAAAATACGAGTTTTGTACACCTGCGATTTATTACTAAGATAAAGTTTTTATATAAGAGAGTGTATGTGTGTATTTTTAATCAATTTTAATAAGAGCATTATCATCCTTTACTTCATTTTACAGTAAGACATGGTTACCAAAAGTCATCTGATTTTCAACTTTTATAAAATATTATTATAAATCGTAAGCGGAGATAAAATTATAATAACATATAACAACTTTTCATTTACTAGATTTGTCATCACTTATTTTATCCACAAATAGAAAAAAACCCACGCATAGATACTTTTCATTAATAAGTACTGTCCAATACACTTTTTATAAATACGATTTTGCCGCTTTGGACGTTCTTAAGGGAGTCCTTTGTCTCTAATTGATATTTATACTAGTATTCTACTTCAAATGTTTAGTTAAAATTGTATTGTCTTCGAAAAATCCAAAATATTTGGTGATTTTGGTCTGAAATAATTTAGCAATAATTTCATTATGTAGCAAATAGCTCGTATGATGTATGAACAAAAGAAACCTTTTCGTCGTATATAAAAACTATAAAAATGTTATTCAACGAAAAAAGTCTGTTTTTTCTCTTGTTTTTACTCATTATTATATGAAACAATAACAAATTAATAAATAATTAATAATAATAATAAATTAACGATGTTTCAAATAATATTCAAATTTTTGTATCCAGAATGCGGCTACTAGTATTACACATATTGGTGTGGTTTGCACATATCGAGTATGTGGGTAAGTAGAAACAGTTACATTCATCCATTATTGATCAAAAGTGAAAGTTGATAGTATCCAAACGAAAACACTTGACTGTGTATAGTTTTCCGTTTCTAACGGATATATCAATCAACAGTCTTGACTATTCTATATACAACTGACCACGTGACTATGTATTGTGATCAAAGCGACGACCTCGGAAAGTTCATAATTTTGTATCATTTCGGTGACAAATATTTTCGGAATCTAAACCAGACCTAAGCTATCATATGCGGACTTTTTTCTTCAAATGTAAGTACTTTACTTAGTGCTCTTTCGAACTTTTTTTTAAATATCAAGATAATTGCTTAAATTTTGTACAAACACAAAAGGTAAATCTAATTTTGACCGATGTTATCGTAGAAATACATTCCATCTTACTCAACTTTTGCTAAGCAATACATGTTTGAGTGTGAATATTTTTAGGATAATTTTTTGAGCGCCGTGCGAAAGGTTTTAAATGTTGATAAACTGTTTAATCAATACAGCTGAAGGACGAATTTTAGTCTATAAATGTGTTTTATTTTGATTGTGAATTAGAGAAGAGGGTGACTCCCTATTTGATTTCAGAACATGCAGCGTTTTCTGTTTACAGTTTTAGACTTAATACCATCTGTGTAACCCGTGACTATCAATGACAGCTTGACAGCGCCTTCTCATACTCCCTATTTGGTTTCTGATCGTTGTTAGGGTTGTGGCAGCCCATTCTTGGACCTACATGGCTCCAAGCTCCTGGATGGTTCTTGGTTGCAGCTGACGACCTGAAATTCTAACCTGCAGCTCATTTCACATGCGTTCTATTGGATTTAAGTCAGGTGAGCGAGATGGCCAGTCCATGCGCTTAATAGACTCCCTCTGTAGGTTGTCCTGGACCATCCAGGCCCTATGGGGGCGAGCATTATCGTTCATAAGAATGAACTGGTCGCCAACTGCTCCAGCATACAATCTAACCTGGTTGTCTAAGATGTCGTCTATGTATCGCTGATCTATCAATGTGACTCTATTTAGCACAACCAGGTCGGTTCCTCCATCCCAGCGGATGCATCCCTACACCATAACTGACCCACCTCCGCTTATTCTCAGCAATATTTGCAGCCTGAAACCGTTCAACTCGTCTTCTCCAGACTCTAGCACGCCTGTCTGTGAGGTCTAGGCAGAACCTGAACTCATCAGTGAACATAACGTGTCTCCAGTGTTGATTGCTCCACCGTGTATACTCCATGGTCCATTCCAAACGGGCCTGGCGATATCGACGCGTTAAGAGGATTGGTATGCAAGGTCATCTCGACTACAAATAACCTTCATGCAGCCTTTTTCTTGAAAACACGGACCCCCGCAGCACGAGCAAGGTCTTTTCGAAAAGAAGTTGCTGTTGAAAACCTAGTACGACGTGCCTGAACGGCTAAAAACCGATCCTGAGCTGGTGTTGTGACCATTTGCCGACCTCCAGCATGGCTACTGGCGGGTGTACCTTGAAACCGGTATTTCTCCCAGGCGCTAGTGATGAGGGTTTGGTGTACAACAAGCCCCGCACCAACCTGGCGGAAGGTGACCCCCTGCTGCACCATCTCTACAGCCCTCCGTATTTCTTCTTCTCTCAAATGACGCCTAATGTTAGCATTCGCAAGCCATTGTTTGACAATTAGCCGGTTATGTCGCGTATAACAAAATACAATTGTACACCCCATCAAATTATTGGGATGCATACTTTCCATGAATCCTAGACGAGTTGTAACGGATAAGTTAACATGTATATGACAGGGGACTATCTCAAAACATTGCTGAATTAGAATTTCAAAAAATGGAAAGAAATCAGTTTTAAACTTGTGATAATATAAAAATTAACTTATGGTGTTTGGCAAAAGTTGTGTAGTATATAGTTACTTTGAATTTAATTGAAACCAAAGTGTGAAACATTCTTATTTGTTCGCATTAAACTTATTTTCCAGGAAAAGCCAGATTCCCTTACTATATGGATGGGAATATCCGCCAAAAGTGTATTTTCATTTATAAATTTTAACAAAATCTAAGATCAAAGAGAAAATAGTTCTTGAAATAAAGGTGATAAAATTATATGAGCATTTGTAAGGATAAGCAAGGTTAAAGCCACCAGCAACAATGAAAGATCTGTAGAAGAGCAGAAGTTTATGTTAATAAAGGATGATAGTGTATGGTATACAATTTTAAACAGCTACAAGCACTGTCAAAATAATATTTCCTTTAAAAGCGTACAGTTATCATTTCGAACCAAAACCCACATCGAAATATTTGGACAAGACGTATATGTATATCTCTGATCAAAGGTATTTGCTTTGCAACTTAATAATTGTTATCTTCATACTTTGTAAGTAGAAATAGAAATTAGCATTCAAGATATGCCCTTGGACGTTTTTAGCGACAAACCATAAGTTACTGTCAGTAAATCTTCAATACCCTTTTCACTATTGAACCATAGCTTCTATGACTTCAAGCAATTATGTATAGGTTAGGGATCAAATGAAAGATTCCTACTTTGACCTGTTATTTGAATAACAATATATTTAAACAATAACATTGACATGCGATCTTTTGTTAACAAATAAAAGAAGTAAGTAGGTAATTTATTTTTTATAGTGACATGTGTAAACATATTTTACAACATATTAAATACAGCCGAACCATTGGGCCTATTAGTCATCTTCAATAAACATAACATATTTACTTAAAGCTATTATTGATTATATCAAACAGGTTCATTTGTAAATACCGTAAATATCTTAAACACGTTCACCAATGTAACGTCCTTCTTCAAAGTGTAATGGCAGAATGCCACATCTTAACTCGGCAAGAACATATATTTCAGTCTCAAACTCTGTTTTTAATAAGGTATAAAAATCTGGAAACAAAGTGATCCCCCGGAAGCATTAAACACAACAAAATTACATAAGAATTGCAGACTCGGTTTGATTGAGTCTGTACATGAGGGATAATGAATACGTGCAACATCCCTCACGCCCCCTAGCACCGGCTTGAGCGGTACTCAATTCTCAACACTTAATAGTGCTGGCATCAATGATCCCGAAGGACATAAGTTCTTGGTTTTGACACGTTTCTTTTCCTATTTTTTATATGCTACTGTTGTATTCAAGGATCTTAGCGTGCGCTAGGTCAAGATTTAGAACACCAGTTTGTAGTACTCCGCTTAACATTTCTTTCAGATCACTACACCAAATATTTTAACATAAACTATATATCTTTTTCAAATATTTTCCTTTTTTGACCATTCTCAGTCTATTCCAGTAACGGATAATATCAATCCACCGTTTATAGTTTCCCGGCAGCCACGCCACGTCTTCCGTTATGACAAGTACAGGTACAAAACGGTGAACACCCAGATAATACCTGATTGTCCTATGTTGCACATTTTCTAAACTCTGGGATTTCCGATTTCCCCAAAAGCCAGAGAAATAATCTAATATTGGTACTACACACGAGTTATACAGTTTTTTTTTTCAAAATTTTTTATACCGATAGATTTTAATGGATGAACTTTTGAGATAATCTTTCCAAATGCTCTCCCTGCACCTTTTCCGAGAGTTATTTCCTATTCCTAAGTCCTGTGTCTTCTGCGACGCTCTCCCTTTCCGGAAGTGAACACATTTAGATTTGTTACTGTTTATCAGGACTCGTCACCGCTTTTACCAATCATAAAGTGTATATAATAGTTTAATAGTTTTTGAATGTCAGTTTCTGTTTTTGCTAGTAAGACAAATATGTTGTGAAATTTTTATTGTATCGCCTAATCTGATAATTAGAATTCGACAGGTCAGGGATCTATGCACATGATCAACACAAAATTTGCAGTAAAAGTAAAATACAGTAACATTTTATAGAATATTCTATTCTTACGTGTGTTTTCATTCAAAAATCCGCCCAGATTCCGTACCGTACCATTCCATCTCTCGCCTGGAAAGGTATCGTACATTTTTTACGTTCGACTCCATGACTTACGATAGGAACATTCTAGTTTGGATTCCGGGATTTGATTGGCGAAATGTAACAAGAAAATGAATGTTTCAAGGATCCTGGCGATATTTGGTTTGATTACAACACAAAGTCACGTGAAATTTGCCTAGATTGCTATCTAATTTCTTATAATAATTATACGACCTGCTTAAGACGATTCCAAACGAAATTTAATTTGATCATGATCTTTTATAAATAAAAATTGTTCTTCATGCAATAATGGTCATTTTCGCAATGCTAAACACCTTATTTCAATTCTTTGCTAAATCAGAGATGTGGACAGGGTGTAAAGCACACAGCTACCCACATTGTCACGGTTGGGGCAGCTGCTCAAAATCATGTGGTGGAGGAAGCCGGGGGCGGATTTGTGAATCTTGTTTCATTAGACATAAGAAATGGTTTTACGAGGACTGTAACCAGCATTGCTACAACGGCGGAAGTTTTTATTCAGGATATTGTCATTGTTCTTCGTGGAGAAGTGGCGATTGTTGTGAAAGTATAAAAAAAATCAATTTTTTAAGAGTAAACAAAAAACACGATCTTTAGCATTTATGTTTAATATTTACGGAAAGTGTGATTCTGATATCAATTACTACAGGGTTCAAAAAAGAACTGTTGTATTTCTAAAAAAAAATTGCATTGATTTACCCAAGAGCGAGTTTTTAGGCGATAGTTTTCTCTACCTGTAGTTGTGTATATACCTGTCTTGATCAGTAACTATTTTTGTGTATTTTGCGCTCAATTATTTTTGATCAATCTGTGTTACAACCGACATGCAAACACACTTTTTAATACCAACTATCTTCTGTTCTCGGAAGAAATTTACTATATTTTATGCTAATTGCCTGTTTTATTTAGGGTGTTACCCCAAGTATATAGCTCACTGTAAATCTGGATATAAGGAGTGTGGAGGATCTCCTGATAATATAAGATGTACTAAATGCGAAGATGGTTACTACGGTGCTGGATATGGAAATGGCTGTAAAGGTACACATTTCTTTCCTACTGTTAGCCTCCTCCAAATGTTTGCAAGAAATGCAACTGCTGGTCATGGCTAGCTTATCTAGATTTATGAATTAAGTAGTTACAGTCAACAATTATGTTGAATCAATTCCAAATGTTTTTTTTGTTTTTGTTTTTGTTGTTTTTTTGTTGTTGTTGTTGTTGTTTTTTACATTTTCTTCATAAAAATTTAACAAATCAAGACACAGAGAGGAAGTCATCGAAAAAGTCTTTTTTAATACTTGTATTCCTTCTAAAGCAACAATTGCACACTTTAAGTATATGTACTTTAGTTGAGGATTGTAGTACTTAACTTTAAAACTATAAAAAAAGTCCCGATGAAGCGTTAGGGTTAAGCATATTTCCTAATATGTTAAGTTGTTTTGTGAATCATTCGTATAAAAAAACTATGATTGAACCACACATGTTCCAACAATTTTGATATAATTTTATGAATGCAGTATTGGTATTTAATTGCTTTATTTAAAAACACCTTCAAATTCATGTCAAAGAACCGTTGCAATGCTGATTCATATTTACTATAACGATTTTCTTGTTGGCCACTATATGATATTTGGCGAGCTCCTTAGTCAATAAATTAAAGTTTGGTTATAGTTATCGTGTAAACACTAACATGTTAATTAGATAAAAGAAAATATTTATTAGAGTTCAAATTTAATATGGAACAGTGCGTGCGCAAACAACGTATTATTATGGCCTTGCGTTTCATGTGCACAATATGGTAGTTATAAACATATTTTAAAGGAACTTTTTAGTTATGCGTATTTATTATGTTTTAACAGGGATGAAATTCGATGGTATTTCTAATCTATTTTATTTATATTGAATATCGCCTACAGCTACATGTATTCAATTCATATAATAATAATAATAAAAATAATAATAATAATAAATTAATAAAATCATAATAATAATAATAATATTAATAATAAAAATATTAATGGAATCATAATAATAATAATAATAATACTAATAATAATAATAATAATATAATGATGATGATGATGTAAAATTGAGATTGAAATAAACGCACGATGTACAAAATGGTGTTGTGTTTTTAAATAATATTCAGTTATGATTGATGACTTTATTTGTTAACATATTTTACTTATATAAAATTAATACAAATTCATTATTCTATAAGGAGAGGCGTGTATTCTTTAAAAAATAATGTAATTAAATCTCACGTCCGCCCTAGCACACTTGAGGAAAAAATGCCACGCGACGTATGATATCGTTTTGCTGTTTTAGGTTAAGTTAAATTATGATTTAAGACTTTTTTTAGAAATAACAATGAATTTCATATTCTCCAAATTGTAGTGTCGGCGTTATTTTAACGATAACTATATACAGTTTAACACATCTTTATCCGTCAGTCCGTGGTTATACCTAGAAGTGCATGTATTTAGAAAATACTCTCTCGCAACGAAAACAATTCCTTGAATTGATATCATTACTATTTTTAAACAAACGCATGTAATGTTTGCTTATACAGCAATCATCATCATGATCTTAATTATTATCATTATTCTTATTATCATACTCTAATCATCAACTCTTTCCTTTCAGTAATCATCATCATTATTTTCAAAGTCATCATTTTATGCTATTTTTGCTTTTACCATTGCGATTACATGCACTTTAAGTCTACATATTCAACTTTTATGCAAATAAATGTTACATGACTTGTCAGTAGCAAATTGTCGACCAGTAAAGAAATGCAAGCAGCGGGAAATTATGATGTAACTGATTGGCATAAAGATGATATAAATCAGCGTGGTGCAAATATGCAGGCTTTGACATCTGACACCTGAAACAAAGCCTGCAACAAGAAAATTTACATTTCTTTTCTTTAAAGTCTTTAAAAATTTAACAAGTTTTTAATAAATTTTCTTTTTTGGAAAGAATTAACATATTCTTTCTAATGCTCAAATAAAAACAAGGACTTCAATATTGTTTCAAAACAAGTATTTAAACATTTTAAGTGCTTTCAGTGTTTTGATTGTTCAACAACTGAATTACACTTTTAAGCCTTATTACCGGCCGCTGATAATCAAAATTAATTTGAAAAACAAAAGAATCCTTTGTTAATTAATTATATAACACAATTGCATTGAGGTTCTTGAAATTTCCAGCAGTATATAGTTGTCATATTCATAGTTATTACAGGTCATGGTGTTTTCTAATTACACACACTGTTATCTTTTGCATTTTGAAATATTTTATCTGTTTTTGACATTTGAATTAACGTGGTTCAATTATTTTTATGACAACTTAATTCTTAGAAACGTTTAAACTTCACATTAAAAGTCTTGTTTTCCAACTGCATATCTGCTGTTTTAACAAACTGTTAACATCCTTATTTAGCTAAAGGTTTATAAAAAACACTAACAAATCCATTGGTTACAAAAGTAGATCAAAAGCGATAACTTGGATTGTTGTTTTATTCAGTTGTAGATATTTATACGATAGTGCAACATGCGCACTAGTTTCGACTATAGTGTGGATGGCAGGTTTAATTTACCTCGTTGTATTTATTGTTGTAAATTTGACATATATTTATGTTGAAGCGGGTTGCTTAGGGGGTACACCCTTTTGTTCTTGGGCACCATGGGAATCATGGTCAAGCTGTAGCCAAACTTGTGGTGGGGGAATAAGAAAAAGATCTAGGGCATATTGTTGTGAAGTGGAAGAATTGGACTTTTATGGATGTATTAGTTATTGCGGCTTTGACAGGGACTATGGTCATACGTACGCACATGACAAGGGATTGTGCAACAGAATTTGTTATAAAGGTTATTACTCGTATGGAAATAATTGGTGTATCTGTAATGACGAATTCCATGGAACGTGTTGTGAAATTGGTGAGCAAATAGGTCATTTTTTGAAACAATTTCGTTTCGTTTCATTTAAATTTTGGAATTTTATCAATTAAATCAATTGTCTTAGACTAGAAATGAAAATATTTAAATATCTTCTTTAATTTTTGTCACAATGTTCATTGTAGGATGTATAAAATGAATACAGATCTTCTAAAGAATCCCTTAAATTAAATCACTATTAAAATCCAAAACTCTAAACAGTACAAATAGCTTCCAGGTTGTTTTTTTTTTCAACACCAAGTTTGGTAAATTCAACTTATTATTAACATCGCTTTATTATTATTATCATTACTTTTATTATTATCATTTGTAAAATGCATGTAAAGTTTGCACTTATCATGAGAAAATGTGTTTTGCCACGGGTTTTCGATACGTTACCATCATTTGTCTTGATTTTTCATACTAATTTTATAATTTTGTAATCGCATTTAAAGGGTAACTTATTTTTACAATTTTGTTTTGAAAAACCTATCGACTTCTATTTTTAAACATACTATTTGAGCCATTTATAAGTTAAATATTAAAACCTTTGTTTGGCTAGATCAGTGCAACAGGTTGGCAATTATTAAAAAATCACAAAAATAACATAAGCATACACTTTTTTGAACTGAAATCATCATCATCATGAACATTATCAACAACCATATCATGATCATATTCATCTTTCTTTCAATCATTATTTCAGTCATCACCATCATTGTCGTTATCATCATCATCAGCATCATTCATAATAATAACAACAAAAAATTATAATAAGTATAATCAATTTCATCACCATTAGCTTCTTTATATCATCAACTTAATCATCATCATCATCATTCTTTATCATTTTCTTCATCATCTTCATCCATAATAAAATCATTGTCATCATTATTCCATTCACCCTCATAATCTTAAACATCATCAACATAATTATTATCATATAATATCATCATTATTACAATGACACTATCGCCATCACAACTAATACAACCATGATCAACAAAATCATCATCACTACCACCACCATCATCAACATTATAATCATCATCCTTATTATTATTATCTAGATCATCATAAACACTATTATCCTTATCATCACCATCATCATAATTTTCATCATCACATTATCATCATTACCAATATACCTACCAATTTGTTCTGCTTATGGCTAAGGGATTGTCTATTATGGTTCAGACATCAGAATTGCAGCCATCGTGTATCCCTGCGTAATCCGTAAGAAGCGACTTAATGAGTTCGAATAACTGGAGCGTATGCTCAAGCTGGCGAGTTGGTTTTGAAGTTTGTAATGGCAGGAGTTAGCAAAAATTGCCTTTCCTTTTTATGCGTTATATTACATTTATTGTGTAGGTGTACCGTAAAACCAAGCAAAGCAAACCGAATGTCTAACAGCATCAATCACTATTGTTTTATCATTATAAACACCAATCTCACAACCTTCCCAAACATTATCCTCATCATCGTGTCGTGATCATCTTCATTGTCACCATAATTATATTGATCATCATCATCAATTTATTTGTTTCATTTGTCAATTATAACCTTATTTATAAACAACTATTACATAAAATATACACAAAAATGCATGAACAGATGAATAACTGTACGATAAATAAATACTTTGAACAATATATATGTCCGTCCTTGGAGAATAAGAACAATTCCGCCATGTATTGAATCTGGATTTTTACCGATGTTCAATTATAAATTTAAACATTTTTTCATGAAATATTCACAATTTTGTAGGGACGATCTTATTCTTGAAGATACTTGTGTACTGTCACATTTGCACTAATTGACCGACATTTTATCGGTTATTTTTAACTCAAAATGGCTTGAACGCTGTTATGCAACTTTTGCTTTTTGGTTGTTTGGCAGATGGTTGCTTATTGGAGCGAGGTCGGTTTGGTTTTGGGCGGGATAATGGGTGACAGAAAACAAATTTAATCGTCATTTTGGTAAATTAAAATTCCCAAATTTATATTGACACTGTTTTCCGTACAGTGGTTGTCCATATTCTGCGTCAGCATCAAACTTAATGTCAGGTAACACTCTTATAGGCTTGCGCAAATTTACCTGCTTAGGCACATCGTAAACGTGCTACCATGGCCGGCTTACTCACCGGACATGACTCCCATTGATCACATATGGAATCTTCTTGGAAGGAGAGCATTATCTATAACACTCGTGACCTTACACTTGCCTTTGTCCAAGAATGGAATGTTAATTTACCAAAGTATGTCATTAGACTGTACATCAGGTCGATGTGTTCAGGATTCATTGCTTTGATTCATAGAAGGACATAATCGGTATTGAAGAAATTTCAGAAGCAAAGACACAAATAGTCGATGTTTAAAACTGCGGAATTCAAATATTGATCCCTAATGCGTTTAACGTGAAAAGAAGCGGTGTTTTGTTGTTTTTTCTTACAGAAAATCTGCATCATGTTGTCGGCACATGTTCGCTACATGTGTTGCATTTTTTTTATCTGTGTCCTTAACAGATAGATATGGTTCTTTATTCCACCAATTTTCCAATCTTCCTTCAAAATATGGAATAAAATTATATCATTATGTAACTGCTTATGACTTAAATGTATTGTAAAGTATTATAATTTAGTTTTAACCTTTCAAGATGACCTTTTCCTCCAAAGAGTCAAACAAATTATCAAGACAAATCACTTGACGTAAGTGTGTTAAGAGGTTTCAATAAGATCCTTTTTTGCTTGAAGGTTTTAAGATGGAAATTTAAGTAGAAATTTTGTCTTATGAAATATTAAATGTTAGATGAATTTATCATAAGTTACAAAATGTATATATGCATATGTATTTAAGCTTGGTCAAACACGCACATTGACAATATTTTTTCGAATTCGTTAAAAATTGAGAAATTAATTATTCTCTTCCATACAACATCTAGTTATGTTTATGAAATAAAGGATTTTATGACACGTACTATAAATAAGCATAAACATGTGTTCCAGAATGTTCCCGTATTTCTCAGTGTAAAAGAAGAAGATGTACTTCATATTATAACACTGAGTGCATTGAATGCTACGATAATAGGATATTCTACAAGCCTAGCTACGGAGGCAGTCAATGTGAACGTAAGTTATTTGACATATCATATAGATAAACATTCTTCTTAATGTTTAATTGTAACTATCAGAACATATTAGGGGAATCTATTTATATGATATTTAAAAACTAGAAATGTGTCCATAGGACACGGATGCCCCCACACGCCACTGTTCTGTCAATCTTATGACTCTAGGTCAAATATTTTTTGCACTACATGTGCCACAAGTTGAAAACTAAAAATCAACAAAGGGCCATAATTCTGTTAAATTTGGTCGCAGCGAAAATTCCTTCCTTTACTACCATCTACACATTAGGGTTGTTCATCCCTGGAAGTTTAAGCAAAATCTGCCATCCGGTTTAAGAGGAGTTGCGTTCACAAAATTTCTACATGATATCAAGTGAAAAAATCAACAAAGGGCCATAATTCTGTTAAATTTGGTTGCAGCAAAAATTCCTTCCTTTACTACCATCTACACATTAAGGTTGTTCATCCCTGGAAGTTTAAGCAAAATCTGCCATCCGGTTTAAGAGGAGTTGCGTTCACAAAATTTCTACATAGTATATAGTGAAAAAATCAACAAAGGGCCATAATTCTGTAAAATTTGGTCGCAGCAAAAATTCCTTCCTTTACTACCATCTACACATTAAGGTTGTTCATCCCTGGAAATTTAAGCAAAATCTGCCATCCGGTTTAAGAGGAGTTGCGTTCACAAAATTTCTACATAGTATATAGTGAAAAAATCAACAAAGGGCCATAATTCTCTTAAATTTGGTCGCAGCGAAAATTCCTTCCTTTACTACCATCTACACATTAAGGTTGTTCATCCCTGGAAGTTTAAGCAAAATCTGCCATCCGGTTTAAGAGGAGTTGCGTTCACAAAATTTCTACATAGTATATAGTGAAAAAATCAACAAAGGGCCATAATTCTGTTAAATTTGGTCGCAGCAAAAATTCCTTCCTTTACTACCATCTACACATCAAGGTTGTTCATCCCTGGAAGTTTAAGCAAAATCTGCCATCCGGTTTAAGAGGAGTTGCGTTCACAAGATTTTGGGACGTACGGACGGACGGACAGACAGACGTACGGACGGACGGAGTGACGGACGGACACTCGGACGGACAAGTGCAACGCTATATGCTCCCACTCTGTGGGGGCATAAAAAAACAATGGAATTATAGAGCCTTTTCAAAATGTTGTTTCAACTGAGGGAAATGCTTAAGTTGTGACTATCTTACCTTACTTTTAAATGTAGATAAAATAAAATAAAAATACCAATATGGGAAATTTTGCACAAACGTAATTGACTTATTTAATACATAATTTTGAATATAAATCTCGAAACATTATTCCAAGTCCCGTCATGTATAAAGAAATGGGGATTTGTTTAATATGCATCGCTTGTATAGTAAATTATAGTAAATAAAGTCAATCTGTTTAACTGCTTTCTTCTTCTAACACTAACCAGCTTTCTTCTCACAGTTTTGTGTAATGATGTACTTCATGACTATGAATTTACATTTATCTTTTTAAAAGAGATTAATTTCACTTTCAAGAACTTGAACATACATTTAAAAGTGTTTGAAAATTTGGCTTCAGAATTTATGAATAAACTTTCGTTACCCTTGGTAACATAGTCAAAAACGTTATCTTTGAATTCTTAACAATTTTATAGAAAGATGTTTCAGAAATCATTGACAAGATTTGGCAAACAATAAATAGATACATACATGCAGAATTGAAACTGTTCAATATAATTTCTTTCAACTTGGCTTGCTGTTAGAATATGAGAACAGAACTATTTCAAGCGAAATATATTGGGTGTCACCGATCTCACTTTTGACTTCTCTGCCCTTGAATCAGAATTATTTAATTATTTGAGGCCACCCAAGGGCAGATAACTTATACATACGTCTACAAAATCTGTTTTTTTTCTCTTTTTTCTAGGTTATGTATTTGTTTTTAAAGTTGAATACAATACATAAAATCATGCAATTCCATAAATTATCTCTGTTTTTCAGTTTGAATAAAAAGACTTGAAATTCTTTAAAAACATATGCCATATTGTAAAAAAATTCAGCAAAGAAGAGACAAAATGACACAAACCAAAGTAAGCTAAATGAAATAAGAAAAATAAAAAGGCATTGTTTACCTTTACCGCAAGGTATCAGCCCTTTAATGAAGCAAGTATGCCCATTCAGGGGCAGATAACTCAAACACTAGAATGGGAAATTCCCAATTCGTTCGCTTAAAATGATTCTGTTTTCATATTCTAACAACATGCCAAGTTTCAAGAAATTACCTTAAACATTTTAAATATTGCCTCCCAAAAACGCCTTGAGCAAAACAACTGACTTATTTTGTAACCAGGTCCATAATAGACCTTCAGTAACAAGAACTCGGAAGAAAATTAATTCATATTCATTGAGTCAACATTTTTTCAAGTGTTTTCATAATACTTTTCCGTTTTTATATTAAGGAGCTTTTATGCACTTATGTGATTGTAAGTTACAAGTTACATTTTTTAAATGTGCAAACTTCCTGCTTTCATATAAGTGAAAGATTAAAGAGGTGTGTAACACGAACAATATGAGAGCACTACTTGAATTATAGAATTAATAATTTCACTTATAATATCAAACAATGCAGAAAAATATACATACTTGATTCAGACTTAATATGGTTACAGACGTTGCTACGACAGGGGATGTCTTGCTCTTCCAAATGGTTTACCCATAGACAATACATCAGTTTAACGATGGACATATAACGATCCAAGGATGTAATCTGATTTATGTTATGTTTTTTATGTAAACTTTATATTTTACTGAATTCCTGGACATCAAAATTGTTCAAAGTTAGCAGTTTAGTATAATGCACTCTGATTTGAATATTTTTCTCAATTGGTTGTTCCATTTATATAATTATATAAACGGAACAAAGGTAAGTATTTTTTAATAAATAGACAAACTTAATTAAAGAATCGCCAACATTAAAACTGCTTTAACTTGGAGTGATTGAAACAATAGTAAAGTATTGGCTGACTTGTTGAATGTAATTGAAACGGACAGTGGCTATTGTTCATTCATCAAGCAGACATGTTGCTTAATTAGCCAAAAAGTGCCATCTATACACAAATCAGTAGATCACATTGAAAAGCATGATAGTGTTTTGCAAGCGGTCCCATTCCTACACTACCCCCCCCCCCCCCTTCACCAAAGAAAATACAAACTTACGGAAAGTGTTGGGTAACAGTCGAAAGAGCCAAAATATTACTTTTCGCTTGTCCCTGTGTTACAAGGTCAGTGTTGTGGTACTGTTTTGGCGCTGAAATATACCAGTGATATCGTTATTATAAATAAATAAACTCAACCTGTTTTCGGCTTTCATTACACTTAATAATATAGTCAAAATGCAATCTTTGAATCCTGGTCTGAACTACAAAATATGCCATTTGTCTCAGTTTAAGTCTATTGTGAGGCTAGTTAGACTACTTTTATGCCAATGCATTCTGTTACACGATAGTTTAACTTCAAACAAGTGATATACAATTAGACCACATGGTGTTTTGTTTCCACTATGCCTGAAACCCCACCAATTAATTTTGCCGTTGTCCGACACAAACTTTTTTTCTTGTCTTGTGTAAGTTTATGTAAATCGAACCAAATTGTAGAAATTGTCAAAACATGTTGTGGTTCGAAATATGTCTTTTTGAGATTGTAATTACCAGAAAAAAACTTAGGGGCTTAACATTGCTTTAATATGTTATTCTATTGTTTTTTGTGATTTTTTTTAAATCAAAGACCTTGCTTGGACATTATGAATTTGTTATGGTTTGTTTCTCAACTTAGTCACATTTCTGGTGTTAAAGGACACGTGGGATGTTGATCCTGACTTTAGGAAACCGTTTTTTTAATGATTGTTCGTGTAGTGAAATTAACTCACAAAATTACATAAACGACGAACAAAAGAGAGCAAAACATTCAAACTCTTTTAAAATTATATTTAAAGTAGTACTGAATTTGTTTTCTTTTTTAGCTCACCTGAGCATGCTCAGAGTGAGCTTTTAGGATCGATGATTGTCCGTCGTCCGTCGTCCGTCCGTCGTCCGTCGTCCGTTCACATTTAGTTGTTAACACTCTAGCGGTCGCATTTTTGCCTCAATCATCATCAAACTTGGTCAGGATGCTTATTTAGTTGATAGCTCGGGTGAGTTCGAACATGGGTCATCTCGGATGAGAAACTAGGTCACAAGAGCTAAAAATAGAAAAACCTTGTTAACACTCTAGAGGTCACATTTTTGCCTCAATCATCATCAAACTTAGTCAGGATGTTTGTCTAGGTGATAGCTCAGATGAGTTCGAAGATGGGTCATCTCGGATGAAAAAGTAGGTCAGCGGAGCTAAAAATAGAAAAACCTTGTTAACACTCTAGCGGTCGCATTTTTGCATCAATCATCATCAAACTTATACAGGATGCTTATCTAGTTGATAGCTCGGATAAGTTCGAACATGGGTCATCTCAGATGAAAAAGTAGGTCACCGGAGCTAAAAATAGAAAAACCTTGTTAACACTCTAGCGGTCACATTTTTGCATCAATCATCATCATACTTGGACAAGATGCTTGTCTAGGTGATAGCTCGGCTGAGTTTGAACATGGGTCATCTTGGATGAAAAAGTAGGTCAGCGGAGTTAAAAATAGAAAAACATTGTTAACACTCTAGCGGTCACATTTTTGCATTAATCATCATCAAACTTGATCAAGATGCTTGTCTAGGTGATAGCTCGGATGACTTCGAACATGGGTCATCTCGGATGAAAAACTAGGTCAGCGGAGCTAAAAATAGAAAAACCTTGTGAACACTCTAGTGGTCACAATTTTGACTCAATTGTCATCAAACTTGGTCAGGAAACTTGTCTAGGTCATTGCTGGGAATAAATCGAACATGGGACATCTCGGATGAAAAACTAAGTCACAGGAGCTAAAAATAGAAAAATCTTGTTAACACTCTAGTGGCTACTGTTGTGATCAAAATATTCTGTTAATTGGTCTGAAAGTTTGTTTTGATGATTTCTAAGTCAAGATCGAACATGGGTCATCTTGGATGAAAAACTAGGTCACACTGC